CCCCTGCCGCACCCCGCGCGTGTCTGCACCGACACGTGCTCTGTGGCCCGGGGGCCGGAATCCAGGCGGGATTTCCGAGGGAATCTTCTCCCTGCTTTTGCTGAATATAATAAACCAATGGTAAACAACCCCTCCCCCGCCCACAACAACAGCAAAGCGGCCCCTGCCTTTCGTTCCCAAAATCCATTTCCAGCCCAGCTCTCAGAGTGAGAACACACCAGAGAGCAAAGTGATGGGACTCTGTGGCCCGGGGGCCGGAATCCAGGCGGGATTTCCGAGGGAATCTTCTCCCTGCTTTTGCTGAATATAATAAACCAATGGTAAACAACCCCTCCCCCGCCCACAACAACAGCAAAGCGGCCCCTGCCTTTCGTTCCCAAAATCCATTTCCAGCCCAGCTCTCAGAGTGAGAACACACCAGAGAGCAAAGTGATGGGAACAGATTGAAAAGAGGAAGTCACTCACCTGGCGCAGTAACCACAGTTTTTCCAGAAGTGTGTCCCTGGGGATGCTCCGCTGTTGGTGTCGGATCATCCTGGCACCATAAATGGGAGTTTTCATTAGCAGTAATCAGCTGGACCTTGCTGCATGGTGGGCGCCTCCTGCCATTCACACCCTTCTGCTCATGTGCGCAGCCCAGCTCCCACCAGTTACTTGACTCCACCAGTGCATCTGAAAAACACAATTAAAGAGGGAGACTCCAAAGCAGGGAGGAGGGCAGTCAGTGGAGCACCCACAGGGCACACATCTCAAAGAACCATTGTTACTGCACCAGACAAGTAACTTCTTCCAGCGATGTCCCCATGCATGGCACTTCACTGTTGGTGACTTTGTAGCAGTACCCGCAAGCACCTGGAAGGCGGATCTCAGAGACATGGTTTAACAGCTGTTGGGAGTACTGCTGAGTCTAGTGGGGTATTATTAGTTAATTGCTGGGAGAGTGCATAGTGCTTCATAAAAGTATCATTGGCAGAGCATGTGGCCACATGGCAGATGTCTCTGAGGGAAACCCTGGGGAGGAAAGCTGTGGATGCTGCAACAGCTCTTGTGGAATGAGCTCTAGGTGTTCCCAGAAGTGGTTTATTTTGGAGGGTGTAACACTTACTCTTTGAGTCTGGAGATGGGTTGAGAG